TTAAACTCATCAAGGAAATTGAAAGGGAAGCAAGGCTTCCAAATTCATTCCTGGAAGCAAGTGTTACTTTCATTCCAAAACCAGGGAAAGACCCAACCGAAAAAGAGAACTACAGAAAAACAGGGAGATAGTAAAGGAAAATGATTTTAGAAATGATCTCAGAAGTGGATGTGGTTTAAGTATCACCTAAAATTTTTATAACTTCCTTAACAACAAGGTATAGAAAGGGAAACTTTTTATTATTATATTATGATTTGGAGGACTTACTCTCAAAATCCAGGAAAAAGTGTGGATAGTTTTCAATTTCCCTGGTCAGGACTTTGAGCAGGTTTCCCATCCCAGCAAACCTAGGAAAGGGAACACAAAAAAATAAATACCATTAGAACTACATACACCAGAGTCCAGGATATCCCTGTCCCTTCTCTCACTACTGGGAAGGCCACAAAGACAGCCCTCTCTGTCCTGAGATGAGTAGTCACCTAGTGACCTCGTTCTGGAACTGGTGGCCGATAAATATCTGAGTGACAACTGTCTAAACCTTAGGGACATCTGTGTAAAGTACACCAAGTGAGACAACGGTGAAAGAATTCTAAGTAGTCTCTGGAGAATAGACTCTCAAGCAGTGTCTCACTCACTATCAGAAAAATTAATCAATGAACATCATATTAAAATAATCAAGTATTTTAGTTATAGGAAATAGATTTTTAGGATGCTCTACAAAGTGAATATATATCCTACGTTTATAGCATATTCTACAAAGTGAAGGACCCCTTCACTAATCCTTGCAATTCTTATAGTTAATATCTGTTTTGCTTTGTTCTCTGTCCATCAAAGAAGGCACTACTGAAATATCTGTCCAGAAAAGTAAGTGTCTTAAAGTTCACGAGTACCAGAGTTCAGAAAGCACAGATTTGGGGCCCTGGAGTCCCTTCTGGTTATGTGTAGGAGATAAGGTTCCTCAGGATATAATTCCTAGGCCAGCCAAAGACTCTCATCATTGGAAGTTTCAATGGTAAGCAGGTTGGGAACTTCTTGAAGTATAAAAATGAAAAGGCATAATATCCAAAAAGGCATTTTCCATGAAACAACAGGGTAAGGCATTTACAAAGCTGGGTCAAATCAACGGAGAAATACAAATTTGTTACACATCCGGACTCCCCTCCTAAAAAATCAAATAGGTAAACTGTAGCTATTTTTAAAGTAAACAGTGCACTTTCTATTGCTCCCAGAAGTAGACATTAAACTATCTGCTGGGGAGACCACGGGCCCACTGCCCTTCATTCACCCAACTGTATTTCCAGGACAGCTGGCGGAGGCCGGTGCTTTGTGGAAGGCATGCCTTTCCCTGTCCCTGCTAAACACAGACTCAGATATGTCCGTCTGCAAAGAATTACTTTAAAAGTCACAGGACCAGGACAAGGGGACTGCTGAGTGGCAGTTTTCTATGCCTGTGGCTTCTGACACGATGATGTTGAAATAAGGAATTTTTGGAATGCACTACAAGGATATGGTGAGGACACACTGAAAGAAGAGGCAGCAGATTGCATGATGTGCTTGCCACAGTCTTCCTCAGAGAAAACCCTCACACACTCGCAGACATCCTCCTGGCAGAACAGCTCACATCAGTGTGGAAAGAAACGACTTTGCCCTCACCAGAATGCCCACACCTGATCCCAGCTCTGCTTCCTGCTGCTCGAAAAGACAAGCTGCTCTTCTCCAGGAGTCTGCTTCCTCATTTGTAAAACGAATTCTCCACAGGTATGCTCAGCACAGTGCTCACAGGAAATGCTGAAGCAACAGTATGTGCCCTTACTATGGACGGCAGAAGTTACCATGATTTAGGATGTCTCCTATAGAAGACAGATTTGATAAACTGTATCTTGCTCCAGGGAAGTGTGGTAAGACCAATGGGAAATTAATGAGGAAGATCTTCGTCCTATGTTGTGAAGAAACTTCTAACCTTCACAGTTGCCTAAAGTTGAGTCATTTGCCTGGTGAAATGGGGAGCTTTCACACACTGGCGATGTTTAGATAGCATCCCTACTGATGATGCAGAAATGACTTATGTGTCGGGCAGAAAGGCTGGCCAGAGATTTCTTAGACTTCTGCCTCGGGGCATACAAGGGCATAAGCATGAACATGGTGTGCATGTAGCCACACACACACACACACACAGAGGCACAGAGGTACAGGCACAGGCACACACAGACAAGAGGCAAACACTTTCTCCCTTCCAAAACAACCTTCCCTCTGCTTTCTGCCATCACTCTCTTTGTTCCTTCTTCTTTTATGCACATTTTCTTTTAAGCTATTTTTGAGCAAAGCCCTGTATGAGGTAGGTTTTGCCAGATTCAAAGCTTGGAACTGGTATAGTCCAGCCCTCTGCTAGGCAGCATTCAGCATTTGTAAATTGTCCTCATGTTTTGGGAAGAATGTTTCCAGTTTTATGAGCAATTCCAGCTTAGACCTGGAGGTACTTCTTGTAGGAAAACTATTCACTGTTTATAAGATCTGGCTGTTAAATAGAATACCTTAATGGAAATCAAATAGTCTTAATTTCCCTATTATTGTGCTTGTGTATCACAAGAGACATGCATGGATTTAACTTCCTCCTAAAATTCTGTCTTCTGTGTGATTTTACTGGCAGAGTATCTGAGTGGGAAATGTGTAAAGCCTTTGGAATCTGTAACAGACTGAAAAAAACACATGTAAAAATATGTCCAAATGTTAGCACCATTCCATCTCCTCCACAGGTAGCACTTGTTGACTGACAGCTCAAATATCTTGCAACATGATTCTAACATTAATCATGGTCAGTTACCTGCACTTCCAGAATTCTAGATGGGTCACCTCTAAAACAGGTGTTACATCTGTGACACCAATGGTGTTGGGGCATTGTGGACTATGAGGTGTCCAGTCTAGTTTTACAGAACCTAGAAAATGTGTTTCAAAGCTGATGCAAGATTGCTGAATTAATACAGAAACATGTCATCTCATTTCCTCCATCGGAGGAAAGATCCAATGCTTATTCTCTTCTCCCAGGCTGAGGAGCATTCATGAGAGCATCTGGTTTAGTGAGGGCTGAGATTAAATAGGTGGATCACAGAGGGGGTCAGCAGGTAAAGACCACGCTTACTTTTAGCTGGACCCAGGGATCCATTTGGAAAGGCCGCTCGCCTATATGCTCTATGTGGGAAACTTCAATCTGTTCAGATGCTCCAAGTGAATACAACACATGCTGCTTTGCACCATGGTGTCAGTGAGATGCCTTAGTTAGTAACAGAGATTATTTTTAAAGAAATTTTATCTTCCTACAAATGATTCAAGTTCATTCTTCTTTATGGCAGAATAGCACTCCAGTGTGTATAAATGTCACATTTTCCTTATCTGTGCATCTGTTGATGGACATATATGCTGCTTGAGACCATAATGTTAAGTGAAATAAGTTAGACACACAAGCTTAAATACCACTTGGTACGGGCTGGGGATTTAGCTCAGTGGTTCCTCCGCCTGCCTAGCAAGTGCAAGGACCCAAGTTCGATCCCTGGTACCCCCTCAAAAAAAACCAAAAACCACTTGGTTTATCTCATATGAGAAACTAAAAGTAGAAATAAAAAGCGAAATAAAAAGCAAAATAAAAGAGAGATAGTAGGAAGTAGGGAAATGGATCTTTTGCAACAGGGAAGGAAAACAAGAGGTGGAGGGAGGCAGAAGGAGCGGGAGATAAGGGATAAGAAAAGGAATTGAGATGTGTTCTGCACATGCACCAACTGCACACAAGGAATGGAAACATTACGCCCCGCAAAGAAGGACAAATAAAAACTTTTAAAAAGATTTTATCCTATTAAGTAAAATAATTTTGGATAATTTATACACTGTTAGAGAATGCAAACACTGGTATAATAAAAGTGGGGAAGAAAACACTAAACATGGGACAGTAAGGTGAAGGGGGAGCAGTGGGTAGGTAGCACATGAATTCTGTGCTGTCCGGTCGTTTGCTGAGATGCTGCCAATTTGTATTTGAGCATCCAGATTGCCAAAGCAACGGAGAATAAAACCCACTCCCTTTGAAGATTTAGCGTCAGATAAACAAACAAACAAAAACAGCGCAGGTGCGGTTCCAATGGAGAAGCACAGTGCCTGTGGTGCAGATGAAGAGATGAGCACTCCAGCTAGAGCAGAAGAGGCTGTATGTGAGGGTGAGCGGCCCCTCGGCTCCCAGCACAGCACAGCCTGTTGGTGGCACTGCCAGGAACTCTGGTTCCCACATCTGCTCGGTGACTTCGCGGCCATCTGTGGCCTCCTGTGGCCTGCTGCTGTGTGTCCAGGGATGTAACTACTTCTCATTCTCTCTGCAGCCAGAGTGTCCATCAGAGGGAACACAGCAGCCAGCAGGAGCTTGAGCCATCCGGAGGGCCTCAATGCAAGTATCTTAAATTGCCTGGTGGTTTGCATAGGTAGAGGAGCTACTAATGAACCAGGCACAGTTATGCCCACCTGTGATCCCAGCGCTCGGGAGGCTGAGGCAGGAAGATTGCAAGCTGGAGCCCATCTGGGCAACTTAGAGACATAGTGAGATCCTTTCTCAAACTAAAAATATAAAATTAGATTTAAAAGGCCTGGGATCATAGTTGAGTGTGAAGGTCCTGGGTTCAATCCCCATACCCATCCACAAAAGCTACCTATGCAATTTTAAGGGATGGAAACATCCTCCAATACTAAAAGTGGGGCAAAAGAACCATTTGAAGACAGAGACAAGTATGACAAAAAAAGATGCAAACGTACTAGAGATAAAATGTTAGAGATATTTTAAATATATTTTATATTGTAGACAACTTTATATTTATACATTTTATATATTAGAGATGAATATTAGATGATAAGAGGTGTTCTAGGCATAAGCTAGTTCCAGAAGTCATCTGCAGGGCTTGTTTATTGCACAATGTCGTGGTCAGGTATCACGGCACACACCTGGAACCCAGCACTCTGGGGCGAGAGAATTGCAAATTGGAGCCCAGCCTGGACAATTTAGCATCTTCACAAGATCCTATCTCAAAGTAAAAAAAACCTAAAAGTAAAAATGGCTGGGGATTTAGCTCAGTGTGAAGGCCCTGGGTTCAAGCCCCAGTATGGCAAATTTTTTTTTTAAAGTGCTGTATTACTGAATGTATATGCTCATTTTCTGGAGGGAGACCATATAGCTTCTGGTCAGTCTCCATGCCAGCTTCAAGGGGTGGCAAATCTGGATGTAAACATGGGATTTTCTTTTCTTTTTTTGAGACAGGGTCTCACTATGGAGCCCAGGCTGGCCTCGAACTCACAGTGATCCTCATCCTCGTGCCTCAGC